CACGGCTCTCTGCCGTGACAGGGGAGGGGCTGGATTCCCCCCTCCCCCAGTGCTGACTGGCGAATCGGACGGGGGAGGGGACAGGTACAGCTGGCTCTGCCTCTAGATAGGCAGAGCCAGCTGTCACTCACACAGCTGGGCGGATCCCGGCACAATTGTCGGGATCTGCTTCAGCTGCGGCGTCTCAGTATACTGCTATATGCTGCTCGCGGTATACTGCGGCGTCTCAGTATACCGCAAGCTACAGCTCTCGGTATACTGAGCCTAGGGTGACGGGAGGATGCTAGTTTGTGTCCTCCCGTTACCCTAAGGATAACTATGGGGAAAAGCCTTAACCCCATAGTTTGCCTTTAAGTTAGTAAACAGATCACAAGTAATCGGGGGCAACTTTGACATGCAGCAAGGCCTTGCTGCTACCTAGGTGACTGCTTGCAAAGACACTGTAGAACAAGGCATGATATGCCAGTAATGTGGAAAAGATCAGATGCAGGAGTCTACAAGAAATACTGGTCATTTGACAAATTTCGAGCAGTGTATGGCCAAGCTTTAACCCCAACCTGATCGCTCTGCTACAAACAGAGTTCTAACTCAGGTGACAATCTAAGGATATTGTGCTCCCTCAGTAAGCAGGTTTACAGTTTTAGACTAGGAGCCCATTCTTACAAGCCTGTGCACTAAAAACACTCCATTATAGCAGACAGCCAAGTGCGTTGTGGCAGTTCTGGCACTGTGCAAAGTATCAGACTTTGCCGAAGTGGTCAGTGTGTTTTTTGCTTTTTATACATTTTTTTTAAACTTCACCTGTAGAGTACAATGTGTACTCGCTATTTAAGTACTCGCACAACAGCACTGCCAAGCGGTGGGCTGCAGTGGCATCCAGTGCGCTGTGGAAAAATGGAGCATAAAGATGCACACCCATAAACTAATACTTTGTTGGAAGTACCTTTTGATTGTATGACAGCATTCATTCTTTTGCGGTAGGAGCCATCAGCATGTCCAGGGCTTGAAAAATTTTAGGGTTTCTCACCAGTCAGTCAAAAATGTCACCAGTCAGCATGACCGGACTACAGCCTTGCAATTTATGTTAAAACTTTTTGGGGATAGATAGAGCTTTCTTTTGGATGTATATAATCACCATATTTTGGTTAAAACATAAAAGACGGGGTCAAGTCGGGTAAATAGACACCAAACATGTCAAGCCTTAGAATTGCGTGCGTCCGCAAAATGGCAAAAAACGGCCACACTGAAAATTGGCTATAGGCGACGCTTAAAACGCTTTTACCGCTCATCAGTTTAGTGTTATCGGTGATTAATGACCCTGAAATTATTGCTCACACTCAGACGTTCGCGGTAATATGCAACATATGTGGCACAATCGTTGGTTTCGCACATAGGCGCACCCGATGCATATGTGTATGTGGGGGGTGGAGGACTTAAAAACAACATATTTTCCCCCTTTTTTAATGCTTTATTTTTTTTTACACAACTTTATTCTATTACATGGGGCTAAGAAGCCCCCTATGTGATAGCCAATTTACATGACAGGTCCTCTTTATGAAGACATCAGGGGTCTCCAAGACCCCTGTCACTGAGGGACCCCCAGAGAAGCTGTTGAAGCAGAGATCTGCTTCATCAGCTTCTGTAGCTGGAAAGTAGAGCTGTAACAATTATTCAATTAAAATAGACGATGGAAAAACGTCGTCAACGATTCGTCGGCTATAATTCAAATTTCCCGCTCACGCCCACGTTGGTTAAGCCGCTCGCGCCACGCCTACGCCGGTAAACCCGCTCACACCATGCCCACCGCACACGCTGAGGACATACGTCTGGCCCTCTCCTCCCGGCGAGTTTCCCGACTCGCTGCCCTCAGCCAATCAACAACGCCGCAGCCTGCCGACAACACAGTCATTCAAGGTAAGTCGAGATCGGCCGGGAGCTTTTTAATGTTTCCTGTTTTATTTTTTTTAAAGTGGCACACTGCAGAACATTAGCAGCTATAGAAGAACACCAAATCCCAGCAATAATACATTAAACAGCCTGTATAATTGCTGGGATTTGGTGTTCCTCTATAGCTGCTGGTGTTCTGCAGTGT